CTAGGTTCCTGTGTGTGTGTGTGTGTGTGTGTATGTGTGTGTTTGTCTTTCTTTGTGTGTGTGTGCAAGCATGTGTAATACTCCTACTGTCAGTGTGTATTAATTTTTTTGCACTTTCCAATACATTCTCATAGTACAAAGTACTTCACACTCATTGAGTATATCCGCTGCTTAGGTATGCAGAAGAGTCCTTGAATCAAAACGTGTCATTAACACTGAGGAAATAGATGGAATGCACCAGGATGTCCAGTATTCAATGACTTCTGGACTTGCTCAATGTTGCTCTTCAGTAGATAGAAGGTAAGAAACTCATTTACAAGATAACAATTAGAATATCACCAATTTGTGTGTGTGTGTGTTTGTGTGATATTTGTTGTTCCATTTGCCATCACTGATTTGTAGAAATTACGTTCATTCCCAAAGTCACTTGAGGAGCAGACTTGTGTCGCTCTGGCTTTATGTCTTCAGTTCCATGAATGCAAGATGTTCTGTTTGCCCTCAGAGAACTTTTGCAGAAATGAATGTCCTTCCTGAGCATTTCATGCTTTTCCATAGTTTCTGGTGTTCATGAAACCTGCCGTTCTCTCGAGAGATGGTAACAATTTCACTGACTAGGGAATCCTAAGAATTCCTCCACTATAGCCTAGGTGTGCCTGTGTATTTCTCAGATCAAAGTGAAGTAATTTCTTTGTTGACAAGAACTGAATTCATGTGATCACGTTTAGGCTCTTCCAGCCAGTATGTGAGTTTTGGTGTTTTCTTTAAGTTATGAACTCTCAAGCCTGGAATAACAACCCCTGGTTCCCACTGTGGAACATTTTGCATCCACATAATGGAATACAATGCCCCCACATGATGGGAGATGTAGTTCTGAGAGGCAAATTTATTCATCCTTGAATAAGGGTGTTTTCCTGGCTGATTTCACCACAAAGGGCTTGAGGTGTTTTTGTACTCACCCTGAGATAGTGTTCCTGTCCTCCAAACTGTGGGTTCAATATTTGGAGTTCTTTAGAACAGGACAGAAATGTCATGGCCGTTCAACCTTGAACAAGCTGAGGACAGACCACGGAGGAGAAAAACATCCCAAGATGAGATGATCTTGCCAGGAAACTGCCACACAAATGGCTGGGGACTGGAGGGGGAGAGGCCTTTGAGGGAGTGCTTAAGTGATCTGACCAATCAGGAAAGACTTGGCTGTGATGTCACAGTGGGCTCACCGCCCCTGGATGTTGGAGGATCCTGAGGCAGCTCCTGACTGGCCTGTTGCTATGGCAGCCCAGCCAGCCAAGCAGGAAGAAGCTGGAGGAAGGTGCCCCTGTCTTGGGTGGAAGAATTCTCTGTCAACTGGGTTGTAGGGAGGCAGGGCAGGTTTGGCAGGAGGTCAAGGGTGAACTTAGCACATGAGGATGGGAGGCTTCCATTCTTCACGGCTAACCTCTGTTAGCCTGCTGAACGAATTTTAGTGTCCACGGGGCTTTGTGCCATTTGGTCATGGAGCTCAGCAAGGAGAACAGGCTGCCCTGGACCTCACTGTGGTGCAGAGGCTACTTTGACTTCTGCTTGTCACCCTGACTACCTGATCTTAAAGTGGTTCAAAAAAAAACCAACAAGGTGTGGTTCTACGTGGCTGCACAAGGAGGAATGAGGTTACATGGAGGCACAGGCGCAGGGACCTGTTGATCTGACATGATTTCTTTAAAATGCAGGCTCCACTAAACCACAGGAAATGAAGGTTTGAAGAAATTCACCTCATTCACCAGTGTTTCCAGGTATTCATTAATGGTAGTGCTGAATGGTCTTTTTCTTAGATGAAATCCCAGAAATTCACTTACTCCAAAATAGTTAATATTCCTGGAACACAGCCACACTGTGGGTATTTTGTGTGTGGGCGCTCCAGTGGTTGTGAAATCTTTCCTGGATCACTGTGTGTCAGATACTCTGTCCCAAATAATGCCTATCAGGATGCTTCCTGGAAGACAGTAATTTTGGTTTTGGATTAATATTGCTTTTCGCAAATCAACAGTAATCAATGGCCTGAGGAGGAAATATCAGCATTCCTTGAATATGCCCTGTGAATGTCCTGCTGTCATGATGAATGTGTATCTATGTGCATCTTTGCCCTGCTAGACAGGATTTGAATTCAAGTGATTGCTTCAGGCACAGCCTCTGATGTATCAGGCATTAGTTGTTCATTGGCATACAGGTGGTAGTATTTCTTCCCTCAAAGAACATTAGTGGAAACGATGTCACTTTACGTGTTTTGCTATGTTTGTTCTTTTTTGACATACAGAAATTGTCCCCTAAGTAGGTTAATGCCAGGATTTCAGATATTGTTGGGAAAACTCCACATACATTGAATATAAGCTAGGTTCCTCTGTTTGTGTGTGTTTGTGTGTGTGTTTGTGTTGTGTGTGTTTGTGCGTCTTTGTGTGTGTGTAATATTTGTAGTGTCCTTTGGTATTACTTTCTTTGCACTTTCTAATACATTCACATAGAACAAAGTATTTCACACTCATTGAGTATATATTCCCTGGTTAGGCATGCAGAAGACTCCTTGAATCAAAATCTGTCATTATGAAAGTGGGGATAGATGGAATGCACCAGGGTGTCTGGTGTTCAGTGACTTCTGGTCTTGCTCAATGTTGCTCTTCAGTAGATAGAAGGTCACAAATTCATTTACAATATAACAATTAGAATATCACCAATTTGTTTGTGTTTGTGTGAGTGTGTTTGTGATCTCTGTGTTTCCATTGGCCATCACTCATTTGTAGAAGTGAGGGGCATTCGCAAAATCACTTGAGGAACAGCTGTGTGTTGCTCTGAATTTATGTCTTCATTTCTTTGGATGAAAGGTGTTCTGTTTGACCTCAGAGAACCTTTGCAGAAATGAATGTCCTTCCTGAGCATTTCATGCTTTTCCATAGTTTCTGGTGTTCATGAAACCTGCCATTCTCTCAAGAGATGGTAACAATTTCACTGACTAGGAAATCCTAAGAATGCCGCTGCTATAGACTGTGCGTGCCTGTGTATTTCTCAGATCAAAGTGAAGTAATTTCTTTGTAGACAGGAAGTGAATTCATGTGGTCACTTTTTGGTTATTGCCAGCGAGTGTGTGCGTTTTCGTGTTTTTTTTTTTAAGTTATGAACACTGAAGCCTGGAATATGAACTCCTGGTTCCCACTGTGGAAAATTTTGCATTCAGATAAGGGAATACACTGCCCCCACATGTGATTCTTTGTCGACAGGAAGAGAATTCATATTATCCCTTTTAGATGTTTTCGTGTTTTCTTAAAGTTATGAACACTGAAGCCTGGAATAACAACCCCTGGTTTGTAGGAGTTAGGTTCATTTCCAAAATCACTTGAGGAAGAGCCTTGTGTCACTATGACTTTATGTCTTCAGTTTCATGAAGGAAAGATGTTCTGTTTGCACTCAGAGAACCTTTTCAGAAATGACTGTCCTCCCCGAGCTTTTCATGCTCTTGCATAGTTTCTGGTGTTCCTGAAACCTGCCGTTCTCTCAAGACATGGTAACAATTTCACTGACTAGGGAATCCTAAGCATTCCTCGGCTATAGACTGTGTGTGCCTGTGTATTTCTCAGATCAAAGTGAAGTGATTTCTTTGTTGACAGGAAGAGAATTCCTATGATCACTTTTAGGCTCTTGGCAGGCAATGTGTGTGTTTACGTGTTTTCTTTAAGTTATGAACACTGAAGCCTGGAATAAGAAGCCCTGGTTCCCACTGTGGAATATTTTGTATCCACATGACAGAATACTCCCGCCCCCCACGTTTGGAGATGTTGTTCTGAGAGGCACCTTGGTTCATCCTAGTTTTAGGGCATTTTCCTGGCTGATTTTACGGCAAAGGGCTTGAGGTGACTTTTGTACTCAACTTGAAATAGTGTTCCTGTCCTCGAAACTGTGGGTTCTATGATGGGTGTTCTGTGGAACAGGACAGAAATGTCATGGCAGTTCAACCTTGAACGAGCTGAGGAGGTAACAGGGTGGAGAAAAACATCCCCAGATGAGAAGATCTTGTCAGGAAACTGCCACAGAAATGGCTGTGGTGTGGAGAAGGAGGGGCCTTAGAGGGAGTGCTAAGTGGTCTGACCAATCAGGAAAGACTTGGCTGAGTGGTCTGACCAATCAGGAAAGACTTGGATGTGATGTCACAGTGGACTTACCACCCCTGAGACTTGGAGGGTCCTGAGGCAGTTGCTGCCTGGCCTGTTGCTATGGCAGCCCAGCCAGCCAAGCAGGAAGAAGCTGGAGGAAGGTGCCCTTGTCTCGTGTGGAAGAATTCTCTGTCCATTGGGTTGTAGGGCGGCGGGGCAGGTTTGGCAGGAGTACATGGGTGTACTTAGCACATGAGGATGGGAGGCTTCCATTCTTCATGGCTAACCTCTGTTAGCCTTCCGCAGAGATTTGAATGTCCACAGGGCTTTGTGCCGTTTGGGCGTGGAGCTCAGCAAGGAGAACAGGCCACCCTGGATCTCACTGTTGTGCAGAGGCTGCCTTGACTTCTGCTTCTCACCCTGACTCCCTGATCTCTGGGTGTGGTTCTATCCGGCTGCTAGGTGGAATGAGATTACATGGAGGCACAGGCACAGGCACAGGCACCTGGTGATCTGGCATGATTTCTTCTCCATCCCTCAGGGTCCACTCAAACACCGGCAAGGAATGTTGGAAGAAATTAACCTCATTCACCAGTGTTTCCATGTGTTCATTAACTCTTGGTAGTGCTGAATGGTGCTTTGTTAGATGAAAGCCCAGAAATTCACTTACTCCAAAGTAGTTAATGTTCCTGGAACAGAGCCCACTGTGGGTGTGTTTGTGTGTGGGGGCTTGTGTGCGGTGCTGAAATCTTTCTGGGTCACTGTCTGTTAGATACTCTGTTGCACATAATGTCTATCAGGATGCTTCCTGGAAGTCAGGAATTTTGGGTTTGGATCAACATTGCATTATCAGAGATCAAGTCTAATCAATGGACAGAGGAGGAAGTATCAGATTTGCTTGAGTATGCCCAGTGCATGTCCTGCTATCATGGTGGATGTATGTATGTACACCTTTGCCCTGCGAGAGAGGATTTGAATTCAAGTGATCGCTTCCTGCATGGCCTGTGGTACATTAGGCCTTAGTTGTTCATTGGCATAAAGGTGGTTGTATTTCTTCCCTCCAAAAACATTGGTGGATACGATGTCACTTTAGGTGTTTTTCTGCGTTTGATCTTTTTGGACGTGCAGACAGTGGCCCCTAAGTAGGTTAACGCCAGGATTTCTGCTGTTGCGGGAAGCATTCCAAGTACATTGCATATAGGCTAGGTTCCTCTGTGTGTGTGTTTGAGTTTGTGTGTGTGTGCATGTGTAATATGTGTAGTGTCCTTTGGAAATAATTTCTTTTCATCTTGTAATACCTTCACAGAGAACCAAGTATTTCACACTCATCGAGTATATATTCGCTGTTTAGGCATGCAGAAGACTCCTTGAATCAAAATCTGTCAACAACAAAGTGGGGATCGATGGAATGCTCCGGGCTCTCTGGTGTTCAATGACTTCTGGTCTCGCTCAACCTTGCTCTTCAGTAGATGCAAGGTCAGAAATTCATCTACAAGGTGACGATTAGAATATCAGCAGTTGGTGCGTGCGTGTGTTTGTGATATTTTTGTTTCCGTTGGCCCTCACTGACTTGTAGGAGTTAGGTTCATTTCCAAAATCACTTGAGGAACAGCCTTGTGTCGCTCTGACTTTATGTCTTCAGTTCCATGAAGGAAAGATGTTGTGTTTGGCCTGGCACCAAAAACCAAAAATGGTATGTTCTCCCTCATATGTGGACATTAGATCAAGGGCAAACACAACAAGCGGATTGGACTATGAGCACAGGATAAAAGCGAGAGCACACAAGGGAGGGGTGAGGATAGGTAAGACACCTAAAAAACTAGCTAGCATTTGTTGCCCTTAACGCAGAGAACCTAAAGCAGATACCTTAAAGCAACTGAGGCCAATATGAAAAGGGGAACAGGTACTAGAGATTAGGTTAGATCAAAAAGAATTAACCTGGAAGGTAACACCCACACACAGGAAATCAATGTGAGTCAATGCCCTGTATAGCTATCCTTATCTCAACCAGCAAAAACCCTTGTTCCTTCCTATTATTGCTTCTACTCTCTCTACAACAAAATTAGAAATAAGGGCAAAATAGTTTCTGCTGGGTATTGAGGGGGGGAGAGGGAGGGGGCGGAGAGGGTGGTAAGGGAGGGGGTGGGGGCAGGGAGGAGAAATGAACCATCTGTTTGCCCTCAGAGAAGCTTTGCAGAAATGACTGTCCTCCCCGAGCTTTACATGCTCTGGCATAGTTTCTGGTGTTCCTGAAACCTGCCGTTCTCTCAAGACATGGTAACAATTTCACTGACTAGGGAATCCTAAGCATTCCGCGGCTATAGACTGTGTGTGCCTGTGTATTTCTCAGATCAAAGTGAAGTGATTTCTTTGTCGACAGGAAGAGAATTCCTATGATCACTTTTAGGCTCTTGGCAGGCAATGTGTGTGTTTACGTGTTTTCTTTAAGTTATGAACACTGAAGCCTGGAATAAGAAGCCCTGGTTCCCACTGTGGAACATTTTGTATCCACATGAAGGAATACTCCCGCCCCCCACGTTTGGAGATGTTGTTCTGAGAGGCACCTTGGTTCATCCTAGTTTTAGGGCATTTTCCTGGCTGATTTTACGGCAAAGGGCTTGAGGTGATTTTTTGTACTCACCCTGAAATAGTGTTCCTGTCCTCCAAACTGTGGGTTCCACGATGGGTGTTCTGTGGAACAGGACAGAAATGTCATGGCAGTTCAACCTTGAACGAGCTGAGGAGGTAACGTGGCGGAGAAAAACATCCCCAGATGAGAAGATCTTGTCAGGAAACTGCCACAGAAATGGCTGTGGTGTGGAGAAGGAGGGGCCTTAGAGGGAGTGCTAAGGGGTCTGACCAATCAGGAAAGACTTGGCTGAGTGGTCTGCCCAATCAGGAAAGACTTGGCTGTGATGTCACAGTGGACTCACCACCCCTGAGACTTGGAGGGTCCTGAGGCAGTTGCTGCCTGGCCTGTTGCTATGGCAGCCCAGCCAGCCAAGCAGGAAGAAGCTGGAGGAAGGTGCCCTTGTCTCGTGTGGAAGAATTCTCTGTCCATTGGGTTGTAGGGCGGCGGGGCAGGTTTGGCAGGAGTTCATGGGTGTACTTAGCACATGAGGATGGGAGGCTTCCATTCTTCATGGCTAACCTCTGTTAGCCTTCCGCAGAGATTTGAATGTCCACAGGGCTTTGTGCCGTTTGGGCGTGGAGCTCAGCAAGGAGAACAGGCCACCCTGGATCTCACTGTTGTGCAGAGGCTGCCTTGACTTCTGCTTCTCACCCTGACTCCCTGATCTCTGGGTGTGGTTCTATCCGGCTGCTAGGTGGAATGAGATTACATGGAGGCACAGGCACAGGCACAGGCACCTGGTGATCTGGCATGATTTCTTCTCCATCCCTCAGGGTCCACTCAAACACCGGCAAGGAATGTTGGAAGAAATTAACCTCATTCACCAGTGTTTCCATGTGTTCATTAACTCTTGGTAGTGCTGAATGGTGCTTTGTTAGATGAAAGCCCAGAAATTCACTTACTCCAAAGTAGTTAATGTTCCTGGAACAGAGCCCACTGTGGGTGTGTTTGTGTGTGGGGGCTTGTGTGCGGTGCTGAAATCTTTCTGGGTCACTGTCTGTTAGATACTCTGTTGCACATAATGTCTATCAGGATGCTTCCTGGAAGTCAGGAATTTTGGGTTTGGATCAACATTGCATTATCAGAGATCAAGTCTAATCAATGGACAGAGGAGGAAGTATCAGATTTGCTTGAGTATGCCCAGTGCATGTCCTGCTATCATGGTGGATGTATGTATGTACACCTTTGCCCTGCGAGAGAGGATTTGAATTCAAGTGATCGCTTCCTGCATGGCCTGTGGTACATTAGGCCTTAGTTGTTCATTGGCATAAAGGTGGTTGTATTTCTTCCCTCCAAAAACATTGGTGGATACGATGTCACTTTAGGTGTTTTTCTGCGTTTGATCTTTTTGGACGTGCAGACAGTGGCCCCTAAGTAGGTTAACGCCAGGATTTCTGCTGTTGCGGGAAGCATTCCAAGTACATTGCATATAGGCTAGGTTCCTCTGTGTGTGTGTTTGAGTTTGTGTGTGTGTGCATGTGTAATATGTGTAGTGTCCTTTGGAAATAATTTCTTTTCATCTTGTAATACCTTCACAGAGAACCAAGTATTTCACACTCATCGAGTATATATTCGCTGTTTAGGCATGCAGAAGACTCCTTGAATCAAAATCTGTCAACAACAAAGTGGGGATCGATGGAATGCTCCGGGCTCTCTGGTGTTCAATGACTTCTGGTCTCGCTCAACCTTGCTCTTCAGTAGATGCAAGGTCAGAAATTCATCTACAAGGTGACGATTAGAATATCAGCAGTTGGTGCGTGCGTGTGTTTGTGATATTTTTGTTTCCGTTGGCCCTCACTGACTTGTAGGAGTTAGGTTCATTTCCAAAATCACTTGAGGAACAGCCTTGTGTCGCTCTGACTTTATGTCTTCAGTTCCATGAAGGAAAGATGTTGTGTTTGGCCTGGCACCAAAAACCAAAAATGGTATGTTCTCCCTCATATGTGGACATTAGATCAAGGGCAAACACAACAAGCGGATTGGACTATGAGCACAGGATAAAAGCGAGAGCACACAAGGGAGGGGTGAGGATAGGTAAGACACCTAAAAAACTAGCTAGCATTTGTTGCCCTTAACGCAGAGAACCTAAAGCAGATACCTTAAAGCAACTGAGGCCAATATGAAAAGGGGAACAGGTACTAGAGATTAGGTTAGATCAAAAAGAATTAACCTGGAAGGTAACACCCACACACAGGAAATCAATGTGAGTCAATGCCCTGTATAGCTATCCTTATCTCAACCAGCAAAAACCCTTGTTCCTTCCTATTATTGCTTCTACTCTCTCTACAACAAAATTAGAAATAAGGGCAAAATAGTTTCTGCTGGGTATTGAGGGGGGGAGGGAGGGGGCGGAGAGGGTGGTAAGGGAGGGGGTGGGGGCAGGGAGGAGAAATGAACCATCTGTTTGCCCTCAGAGAAGCTTTGCAGAAATGACTGTCCTCCCCGAGCTTTACATGCTCTGGCATAGTTTCTGGTGTTCCTGAAACCTGCCGTTCTCTCAAGACATGGTAACAATTTCACTGACTAGGGAATCCTAAGCATTCCGCGGCTATAGACTGTGTGTGCCTGTGTATTTCTCAGATCAAAGTGAAGTGATTTCTTTGTCGACAGGAAGAGAATTCCTATGATCACTTTTAGGCTCTTGGCAGGCAATGTGTGTGTTTACGTGTTTTCTTTAAGTTATGAACACTGAAGCCTGGAATAAGAAGCCCTGGTTCCCACTGTGGAACATTTTGTATCCACATGAAGGAATACTCCCGCCCCCACGTTTGGAGATGTTGTTCTGAGAGGCACCTTGGTTCATCCTAGTTTTAGGGCATTTTCCTGGCTGATTTTACGGCAAAGGGCTTGAGGTGATTTTTTGTACTCACCCTGAAATAGTGTTCCTGTCCTCCAAACTGTGGGTTCCACGATGGGTGTTCTGTGGAACAGGACAGAAATGTCATGGCAGTTCAACCTTGAACGAGCTGAGGAGGTAACGTGGCGGAGAAAAACATCCCCAGATGAGAAGATCTTGTCAGGAAACTGCCACAGAAATGGCTGTGGTGTGGAGAAGGAGGGGCCTTAGAGGGAGTGCTAAGGGGTCTGACCAATCAGGAAAGACTTGGCTGAGTGGTCTGCCCAATCAGGAAAGACTTGGCTGTGATGTCACAGTGGACTCACCACCCCTGAGACTTGGAGGGTCCTGAGGCAGTTGCTGCCTGGCCTGTTGCTATGGCAGCCCAGCCAGCCAAGCAGGAAGAAGCTGGAGGAAGGTGCCCTTGTCTCGTGTGGAAGAATTCTCTGTCCATTGGGTTGTAGGGCGGCGGGGCAGGTTTGGCAGGAGTTCATGGGTGTACTTAGCACATGAGGATGGGAGGCTTCCATTCTTCATGGCTAACCTCTGTTAGCCTTCCGCAGAGATTTGAATGTCCACAGGGCTTTGTGCCGTTTGGGCGTGGAGCTCAGCAAGGAGAACAGGCCACCCTGGATCTCACTGTTGTGCAGAGGCTGCCTTGACTTCTGCTTCTCACCCTGACTCCCTGATCTCTGGGTGTGGTTCTATCCGGCTGCTAGGTGGAATGAGATTACATGGAGGCACAGGCACAGGCACAGGCACCTGGTGATCTGGCATGATTTCTTCTCCATCCCTCAGGGTCCACTCAAACACCGGCAAGGAATGTTGGAAGAAATTAACCTCATTCACCAGTGTTTCCATGTGTTCATTAACTCTTGGTAGTGCTGAATGGTGCTTTGTTAGATGAAAGCCCAGAAATTCACTTACTCCAAAGTAGTTAATGTTCCTGGAACAGAGCCCACTGTGGGTGTGTTTGTGTGTGGGGGCTTGTGTGCGGTGCTGAAATCTTTCTGGGTCACTGTCTGTTAGATACTCTGTTGCACATAATGTCTATCAGGATGCTTCCTGGAAGTCAGGAATTTTGGGTTTGGATCAACATTGCATTATCAGAGATCAAGTCTAATCAATGGACAGAGGAGGAAGTATCAGATTTGCTTGAGTATGCCCAGTGCATGTCCTGCTATCATGGTGGATGTATGTATGTACACCTTTGCCCTGCGAGAGAGGATTTGAATTCAAGTGATCGCTTCCTGCATGGCCTGTGGTACATTAGGCCTTAGTTGTTCATTGGCATAAAGGTGGTTGTATTTCTTCCCTCCAAAAACATTGGTGGATACGATGTCACTTTAGGTGTTTTTCTGCGTTTGATCTTTTTGGACGTGCAGACAGTGGCCCCTAAGTAGGTTAACGCCAGGATTTCTGCTGTTGCGGGAAGCATTCCAAGTACATTGCATATAGGCTAGGTTCCTCTGTGTGTGTGTTTGAGTTTGTGTGTGTGTGCATGTGTAATATGTGTAGTGTCCTTTGGAAATAATTTCTTTTCATCTTGTAATACCTTCACAGAGAACCAAGTATTTCACACTCATCGAGTATATATTCGCTGTTTAGGCATGCAGAAGACTCCTTGAATCAAAATCTGTCAACAACAAAGTGGGGATCGATGGAATGCTCCGGGCTCTCTGGTGTTCAATGACTTCTGGTCTCGCTCAACCTTGCTCTTCAGTAGATGCAAGGTCAGAAATTCATCTACAAGGTGACGATTAGAATATCAGCAGTTGGTGCGTGCGTGTGTTTGTGATATTTTTGTTTCCGTTGGCCCTCACTGACTTGTAGGAGTTAGGTTCATTTCCAAAATCACTTGAGGAACAGCCTTGTGTCGCTCTGACTTTATGTCTTCAGTTCCATGAAGGAAAGATGTTGTGTTTGGCCTGGCACCAAAAACCAAAAATGGTATGTTCTCCCTCATATGTGGACATTAGATCAAGGGCAAACACAACAAGCGGATTGGACTATGAGCACAGGATAAAAGCGAGAGCACACAAGGGAGGGGTGAGGATAGGTAAGACACCTAAAAAACTAGCTAGCATTTGTTGCCCTTAACGCAGAGAACCTAAAGCAGATACCTTAAAGCAACTGAGGCCAATATGAAAAGGGGAACAGGTACTAGAGATTAGGTTAGATCAAAAAGAATTAACCTGGAAGGTAACACCCACACACAGGAAATCAATGTGAGTCAATGCCCTGTATAGCTATCCTTATCTCAACCAGCAAAAACCCTTGTTCCTTCCTATTATTGCTTCTACTCTCTCTACAACAAAATTAGAAATAAGGGCAAAATAGTTTCTGCTGGGTATTGAGGGGGGAGAGGGAGGGGCGGAGAGGGTGGTAAGGGAGGGGGTGGGGGCAGGGAGGAGAAATGAACCATCTGTTTGCCCTCAGAGAAGCTTTGCAGAAATGACTGTCCTCCCCGAGCTTTACATGCTCTGGCATAGTTTCTGGTGTTCCTGAAACCTGCCGTTCTCTCAAGACATGGTAACAATTTCACTGACTAGGGAATCCTAAGCATTCCGCGGCTATAGACTGTGTGTGCCTGTGTATTTCTCAGATCAAAGTGAAGTGATTTCTTTGTCGACAGGAAGAGAATTCCTATGATCACTTTTAGGCTCTTGGCAGGCAATGTGTGTGTTTACGTGTTTTCTTTAAGTTATGAACACTGAAGCCTGGAATAAGAAGCCCTGGTTCCCACTGTGGAACATTTTGTATCCACATGAAGGAATACTCCCGCCCCCACGTTTGGAGATGTTGTTCTGAGAGGCACCTTGGTTCATCCTAGTTTTAGGGCATTTTCCTGGCTGATTTTACGGCAAAGGGCTTGAGGTGATTTTTTGTACTCACCCTGAAATAGTGTTCCTGTCCTCCAAACTGTGGGTTCCACGATGGGTGTTCTGTGGAACAGGACAGAAATGTCATGGCAGTTCAACCTTGAACGAGCTGAGGAGGTAACGTGGCGGAGAAAAACATCCCCAGATGAGAAGATCTTGTCAGGAAACTGCCACAGAAATGGCTGTGGTGTGGAGAAGGAGGGGCCTTAGAGGGAGTGCTAAGGGGTCTGACCAATCAGGAAAGACTTGGCTGTGATGTCACAGTGGACTCACCACCCCTGAGACTTGGAGGGTCCTGAGGCAGTTGCTGCCTGGCCTGTTGCTATGGCAGCCCAGCCAGCCAAGCAGGAAGAAGCTGGAGGAAGGTGCCCTTGTCTCGTGTGGAAGAATTCTCTGTCCATTGGGTTGTAGGGCGGCGGGGCAGGTTTGGCAGGAGTTCATGGGTGTACTTAGCACATGAGGATGGGAGGCTTCCATTCTTCATGGCTAACCTCTGTTAGCCTTCCGCAGAGATTTGAATGTCCACAGGGCTTTGTGCCGTTTGGGCGTGGAGCTCAGCAAGGAGAACAGGCCACCCTGGATCTCACTGTTGTGCAGAGGCTGCCTTGACTTCTGCTTCTCACCCTGACTCCCTGATCTCTGGGTGTGGTTCTATCCGGCTGCTAGGTGGAATGAGATTACATGGAGGCACAGGCACAGGCACAGGCACCTGGTGATCTGGCATGATTTCTTCTCCATCCCTCAGGGTCCACTCAAACACCGGCAAGGAATGTTGGAAGAAATTAACCTCATTCACCAGTGTTTCCATGTGTTCATTAACTCTTGGTAGTGCTGAATGGTGCTTTGTTAGATGAAAGCCCAGAAATTCACTTACTCCAAAGTAGTTAATGTTCCTGGAACAGAGCCCACTGTGGGTGTGTTTGTGTGTGGGGGCTTGTGTGCGGTGCTGAAATCTTTCTGGGTCACTGTCTGTTAGATACTCTGTTGCACATAATGTCTATCAGGATGCTTCCTGGAAGTCAGGAATTTTGGGTTTGGATCAACATTGCATTATCAGAGATCAAGTCTAATCAATGGACAGAGGAGGAAGTATCAGATTTGCTTGAGTATGCCCAGTGCATGTCCTGCTATCATGGTGGATGTATGTATGTACACCTTTGCCCTGCGAGAGAGGATTTGAATTCAAGTGATCGCTTCCTGCATGGCCTGTGGTACATTAGGCCTTAGTTGTTCATTGGCATAAAGGTGGTTGTATTTCTTCCCTCCAAAAACATTGGTGGATACGATGTCACTTTAGGTGTTTTTCTGCGTTTGATCTTTTTGGACGTGCAGACAGTGGCCCCTAAGTAGGTTAACGCCAGGATTTCTGCTGTTGCGGGAAGCATTCCAAGTACATTGCATATAGGCTAGGTTCCTCTGTGTGTGTGTTTGAGTTTGTGTGTGTGTGCATGTGTAATATGTGTAGTGTCCTTTGGAAATAATTTCTTTTCATCTTGTAATACCTTCACAGAGAACCAAGTATTTCACACTCATCGAGTATATATTCGCTGTTTAGGCATGCAGAAGACTCCTTGAATCAAAATCTGTCAACAACAAAGTGGGGATCGATGGAATGCTCCGGGCTCTCTGGTGTTCAATGACTTCTGGTCTCGCTCAACCTTGCTCTTCAGTAGATGCAAGGTCAGAAATTCATCTACAAGGTGACGATTAGAATATCAGCAGTTGGTGCGTGCGTGTGTTTGTGATATTTTTGTTTCCGTTGGCCCTCACTGACTTGTAGGAGTTAGGTTCATTTCCAAAATCACTTGAGGAACAGCCTTGTGTCGCTCTGACTTTATGTCTTCAGTTCCATGAAGGAAAGATGTTGTGTTTGGCCTGGCACCAAAAACCAAAAATGGTATGTTCTCCCTCATATGTGGACATTAGATCAAGGGCAAACACAACAAGCGGATTGGACTATGAGCACAGGATAAAAGCGAGAGCACACAAGGGAGGGGTGAGGATAGGTAAGACACCTAAAAAACTAGCTAGCATTTGTTGCCCTTAACGCAGAGAACCTAAAGCAGATACCTTAAAGCAACTGAGGCCAATATGAAAAGGGGAACAGGTACTAGAGATTAGGTTAGATCAAAAAGAATTAACCTGGAAGGTAACACCCACACACAGGAAATCAATGTGAGTCAATGCCCTGTATAGCTATCCTTATCTCAACCAGCAAAAACCCTTGTTCCTTCCTATTATTGCTTCTACTCTCTCTACAACAAAATTAGAAATAAGGGCAAAATAGTTTCTGCTGGGTATTGAGGGGGGGAGAGGGAGGGGGCGGAGAGGGTGGTAAGGGAGGGGTGGGGGCAGGGAGGAGAAATGAACCATCTGTTTGCCCTCAGAGAAGCTTTGCAGAAATGACTGTCCTCCCCGAGCTTTACATGCTCTGGCATAGTTTCTGGTGTTCCTGAAACCTGCCGTTCTCTCAAGACATGGTAACAATTTCACTGACTAGGGAATCCTAAGCATTCCGCGGCTATAGACTGTGTGTGCCTGTGTATTTCTCAGATCAAAGTGAAGTGATTTCTTTGTCGACAGGAAGAGAATTCCTATGATCACTTTTAGGCTCTTGGCAGGCAATGTGTGTGTTTACGTGTTTTCTTTAAGTTATGAACACTGAAGCCTGGAATAAGAAGCCCTGGTTCCCACTGTGGAACATTTTGTATCCACATGAAGGAATACTCCCGCCCCCCACGTTTGGAGATGTTGTTCTGAGAGGCACCTTGGTTCATCCTAGTTTTAGGGCATTTTCCTGGCTGATTTTACGGCAAAGGGCTTGAGGTGATTTTTTGTACTCACCCTGAAATAGTGTTCCTGTCCTCCAAACTGTGGGTTCCACGATGGGTGTTCTGTGGAACAGGACAGAAATGTCATGGCAGTTCAACCTTGAACGAGCTGAGGAGGTAACGTGGCGGAGAAAAACATCCCCAGATGAGAAGATCTTGTCAGGAAACTGCCACAGAAATGGCTGTGGTGTGGAGAAGGAGGGGCCTTAGAGGGAGTGCTAAGGGGTCTGACCAATCAGGAAAGACTTGGCTGAGTGGTCTGCCCAATCAGGAAAGACTTGGCTGTGATGTCACAGTGGACTCACCACCCCTGAGACTTGGAGGGTCCTGAGGCAGTTGCTGCCTGGCCTGTTGCTATGGCAGCCCAGCCAGCCAAGCAGGAAGAAGCTGGAGGAAGGTGCCCTTGTCTCGTGTGGAAGAATTCTCTGTCCATTGGGTTGTAGGGCGGCGGGGCAGGTTTGGCAGGAGTTCATGGGTGTACTTAGCACATGAGGATGGGAGGCTTCCATTCTTCATGGCTAACCTCTGTTAGCCTTCCGCAGAGATTTGAATGTCCACAGGGCTTTGTGCCGTTTGGGCGTGGAGCTCAGCAAGGAGAACAGGCCACCCTGGATCTCACTGTTGTGCAGAGGCTGCCTTGACTTCTGCTTCTCACCCTGACTCCCTGATCTCTGGGTGTGGTTCTATCCGGCTGCTAGGTGGAATGAGATTACATGGAGGCACAGGCACAGGCACAGGCACCTGGTGATCTGGCATGATTTCTTCTCCATCCCTCAGGGTCCACTCAAACACCGGCAAGGAATGTTGGAAGAAATTAACCTCATTCACCAGTGTTTCCATGTGTTCATTAACTCTTGGTAGTGCTGAATGGTGCTTTGTTAGATGAAAGCCCAGAAATTCACTTACTCCAAAGTAGTTAATGTTCCTGGAACAGAGCCCACTGTGGGTGTGTTTGTGTGTGGGGGCTTGTGTGCGGTGCTGAAATCTTTCTGGGTCACTGTCTGTTAGATACTCTGTTGCACATAATGTCTATCAGGATGCTTCCTGGAAGTCAGGAATTTTGGGTTTGGATCAACATTGCATTATCAGAGATCAAGTCTAATCAATGGACAGAGGAGGAAGTATCAGATTTGCTTGAGTATGCCCAGTGCATGTCCTGCTATCATGGTGGATGTATGTATGTACACCTTTGCCCTGCGAGAGAGGATTTGAATTCAAGTGATCGCTTCCTGCATGGCCTGTGGTACATTAGGCCTTAGTTGTTCATTGGCATAAAGGTGGTTGTATTTCTTCCCTCCAAAAACATTGGTGGATACGATGTCACTTTAGGTGTTTTTCTGCGTTTGATCTTTTTGGACGTGCAGACAGTGGCCCCTAAGTAGGTTAACGCCAGGATTTCTGCTGTTGCGGGAAGCATTCCAAGTACATTGCATATAGGCTAGGTTCCTCTGTGTGTGTGTTTGAGTTTGTGTGTGTGTGCATGTGTAATATGTGTAGTGTCCTTTGGAAATAATTTCTTTTCATCTTGTAATACCTTCACAGAGAACCAAGTATTTCACACTCATCGAGTATATATTCGCTGTTTAGGCATGCAGAAGACTCCTTGAATCAAAATCTGTCAACAACAAAGTGGGGATCGATGGAATGCTCCGGGCTCTCTGGTGTTCAATGACTTCTGGTCTCGCTCAACCTTGCTCTTCAGTAGATGCAAGGTCAGAAATTCATCTACAAGGTGACGATTAGAATATCAGCAGTTGGTGCGTGCGTGTGTTTGTGATATTTTTGTTTCCGTTGGCCCTCACTGACTTGTAGGAGTTAGGTTCATTTCCAAAATCACTTGAGGAACAGCCTTGTGTCGCTCTGACTTTATGTCTTCAGTTCCATGAAGGAAAGATGTTGTGTTTGGCCTGGCACCAAAAACCAAAAATGGTATGTTCTCCCTCATATGTGGACATTAGATCAAGGGCAAACACAACAAGCGGATTGGACTATGAGCACAGGATAAAAGCGAGAGCACACAAGGGAGGGGTGAGGATAGGTAAGACACCTAAAAAACTAGCTAGCATTTGTTGCCCTTAACGCAGAGAACCTAAAGCAGATACCTTAAAGCAACTGAGGCCAATATGAAAAGGGGAACAGGTACTAGAGATTAGGTTAGATCAAAAAGAATTAACCTGGAAGGTAACACCCACACACAGGAAATCAATGTGAGTCAATGCCCTGTATAGCTATCCTTATCTCAACCAGCAAAAACCCTTGTTCCTTCCTATTATTGCTTCTACTCTCTCTACAACAAAATTAGAAATAAGGGCAAAATAGTTTCTGCTGGGTATTGAGGGGGGAGAGGGAGGGGGCGGAGAGGGTGGTAAGGGAGGGGGTGGGGGCAGGGAGGAGAAATGAACCATCTGTTTGCCCTCAGAGAAGCTTTGCAGAAATGACTGTCCTCCCCGAGCTTTACATGCTCTGGCATAGTTTCTGGTGTTCCTGAAACCTGCCGTTCTCTCAAGACATGGTAACAATTTCACTGACTAGGGAATCCTAAGCATTCCGCGGCTATAGACTGTGTGTGCCTGTGTATTTCTCAGATCAAAGTGAAGTGATTTCTTTGTCGACAGGAAGAGAATTCCTATGATCACTTTTAGGCTCTTGGCAGGCAATGTGTGTGTTTACGTGTTTTCTTTAAGTTATGAACACTGAAGCCTGGAATAAGAAGCCCTGGTTCCCACTGTGGAACATTTTGTATCCACATGAAGGAATACTCCCGCCCCCCACGTTTGGAGATGTTGTTCTGAGAGGCACCTTGGTTCATCCTAGTTTTAGGGCATTTTCCTGGCTGATTTTACGGCAAAGGGCTTGAGGTGATTTTTTGTACTCACCCTGAAATAGTGTTCCTGTCCTCCAAACTGTGGGTTCCACGATGGGTGTTCTGTGGAACAGGACAGAAATGTCATGGCAGTTCAACCTTGAACGAGCTGAGGAGGTAACGTGGCGGAGAAAAACATCCCCAGATGAGAAGATCTTGTCAGGAAACTGCCACAGAAATGGCTGTGGTGTGGAGAAGGAGGGGCCTTAGAGGGAGTGCTAAGGGGTCTGACCAATCAGGAAAGACTTGGCTGAGTGGTCTGCCAATCAGGAAAGACTTGGCTGTGATGTCACAGTGGACTCACCACCCCTGAGACTTGGAGGGTCCTGAGGCAGTTGCTGCCTGGCCTGTTGCTATGGCAGCCCAGCCAGCCAAGCAGGAAGAAGCTGGAGGAAGGTGCCCTTGTCTCGTGTGGAAGAATTCTCTGTCCATTGGGTTGTAGGGCGGCGGGGCAGGTTTGGCAGGAGTTCATGGGTGTACTTAGCACATGAGGATGGGAGGCTTCCATTCTTCATGGCTAACCTCTGTTAGCCTTCCGCAGAGATTTGAATGTCCACAGGGCTTTGTGCCGTTTGGGCGTGGAGCTCAGCAAGGAGAACAGGCCACCCTGGATCTCACTGTTGTGCAGAGGCTGCCTTGACTTCTGCTTCTCACCCTGACTCCCTGATCTCTGGGTGTGGTTCTATCCGGCTGCTAGGTGGAATGAGATTACATGGAGGCACAGGCACAGGCACAGGCACCTGGTGATCTGGCATGATTTCTTCTCCATCCCTCAGGGTCCACTCAAACACCGGCAAGGAATGTTGGAAGAAATTAACCTCATTCACCAGTGTTTCCATGTGTTCATTAACTCTTGGTAGTGCTGAATGGTGCTTTGTTAGATGAAAGCCCAGAAATTCACTTACTCCAAAGTAGTTAATGTTCCTGGAACAGAGCCCACTGTGGGTGTGTTTGTGTGTGGGGGCTTGTGTGCGGTGCTGAAATCTTTCTGGGTCACTGTCTGTTAGATACTCTGTTGCACATAATGTCTATCAGGATGCTTCCTGGAAGTCAGGAATTTTGGGTTTGGATCAACATTGCATTATCAGAGATCAAGTCTAATCAATGGACAGAGGAGGAAGTATCAGATTTGCTTGAGTATGCCCAGTGCATGTCCTGCTATCATGGTGGATGTATGTATGTACACCTTTGCCCTGCGAGAGAGGATTTGAATTCAAGTGATCGCTTCCTGCATGGCCTGTGGTACATTAGGCCTTAGTTGTTCATTGGCATAAAGGTGGTTGTATTTCTTCCCTCCAAAAACATTGGTGGATACGATGTCACTTTAGGTGTTTTTCTGCGTTTGATCTTTTTGGACGTGCAGACAGTGGCCCCTAAGTAGGTTAACGCCAGGATTTCTGCTGTTGCGGGAAGCATTCCAAGTACATTGCATATAGGCTAGGTTCCTCTGTGTGTGTGTTTGAGTTTGTGTGTGTGCATGTGTAATATGTGTAGTGTCCTTTGGAAATAATTTCTTTTCATCTTGTAATACCTTCACAGAGAACCAAGTATTTCACACTCATCGAGTATATATTCGCTGTTTAGGCATGCAGAAGACTCCTTGAATCAAAATCTGTCAACAACAAAGTGGGGATCGATGGAATGCTCCGGGCTCTCTGGTGTTCAATGACTTCTGGTCTCGCTCAACCTTGCTCTTCAGTAGATGCAAGGTCAGAAATTCATCTACAAGGTGACGATTAGAATATCAGCAGTTGGTGCGTGCGTGTGTTTGTGATATTTTTTGTTTCCGTTGGCCCTCACTGACTTGTAGGAGTTAGGTTCATTTCCAAAATCACTTGAGGAACAGCCTTGTGTCGCTCTGACTTTATGTCTTCAGTTCCATGAAGGAAAGATGTTGTGTTTGGCCTGGCACCAAAAACCAAAAATGGTATGTTCTCCCTCATATGTGGACATTAGATCAAGGGCAAACACAACAAGCGGATTGGACTATGAGCACAGGATAAAGCGAGAGCACACAAGGGAGGGGTGAGGATAGGTAAGACACCTAAAAAACTAGCTAGCATTTGTTGCCCTTAACGCAGAGAACCTAAAGCAGATACCTTAAAGCAACTGAGGCCAATATGAAAAGGGGAACAGGTACTAGAGATTAGGTTAGATCAAAAAGAATTAACCTGGAAGGTAACACCCACACACAGGAAATCAATGTGAGTCAATGCCCTGTATAGCTATCCTTATCTCAACCAGCAAAAACCCTTGTTCCTTCCTATTATTGCTTCTACTCTCTCTACAACAAAATTAGAAATAAGGGCAAAATAGTTTCTGCTGGGTATTGAGGGGGGAGAGGGAGGGGCGGAGAGGGTGGTAAGGGAGGGGTGGGGGCAGGGAGGAGAAATGAACCATCTGTTTGCCCTCAGAGAAGCTTTGCAGAAATGACTGTCCTCCCCGAGCTTTACATGCTCTGGCATAGTTTCTGGTGTTCCTGAAACCTGCCGTTCTCTCAAGACATGGTAACAATTTCACTGACTAGGGAATCCTAAGCATTCCGCGGCTATAGACTGTGTGTGCCTGTGTATTTCTCAGATCAAAGTGAAGTGATTTCTTTGTCGACAGGAAGAGAATTCCTATGATCACTTTTAGGCTCTTGGCAGGCAATGTGTGTGTTTACGTGTTTTCTTTAAGTTATGAACACTGAAGCCTGGAATAAGAAGCCCTGGTTCCCACTGTGGAACATTTTGTATCCACATGAAGGAATACTCCCCGCCCCCACGTTTGGAGATGTTGTTCTGAGAGGCACCTTGGTTCATCCTAGTTTTAGGGCATTTTCCTGGCTGATTTTACGGCAAAGGGCTTGAGGTGATTTTTTGTACTCACCCTGAAATAGTGTTCCTGTCCTCCAAACTGTGGGTTCCACGATGGGTGTTCTGTGGAACAGGACAGAAATGTCATGGCAGTTCAACCTTGAACGAGCTGAGGAGGTAACGTGGCGGAGAAAAACATCCCCAGATGAGAAGATCTTGTCAGGAAACTGCCACAGAAATGGCTGTGGTGTGGAGAAGGAGGGGCCTTAGAGGGAGTGCTAAGGGGTCTGACCAATCAGGAAAGACTTGGCTGTGATGTCACAGTGGACTCACCACCCCTGAGACTTGGAGGGTCCTGAGGCAGTTGCTGCCTGGCCTGTTGCTATGGCAGCCCAGCCAGCCAAGCAGGAAGAAGCTGGAGGAAGGTGCCCTTGTCTCGTGTGGAAGAATTCTCTGTCCATTGGGTTGTAGGGCGGCGGGGCAGGTTTGGCAGGAGTTCATGGGTGTACTTAGCACATGAGGATGGGAGGCTTCCATTCTTCATGGCTAACCTCTGTTAGCCTTCCGCAGAGATTTGAATGTCCACAGGGCTTTGTGCCGTTTGGGCGTGGAGCTCAGCAAGGAGAACAGGCCACCCTGGATCTCACTGTTGTGCAGAGGCTGCCTTGACTTCTGCTTCTCACCCTGACTCCCTGATCTCTGGGTGTGGTTCTATCCGGCTGCTAGGTGGAATGAGATTACATGGAGGCACAGGCACAGGCACAGGCACCTGGTGATCTGGCATGATTTCTTCTCCATCCCTCAGGGTCCACTCAAACACCGGCAAGGAATGTTGGAAGAAATTAACCTCATTCACCAGTGTTTCCATGTGTTCATTAACTCTTGGTAGTGCTGAATGGTGCTTTGTTAGATGAAAGCCCAGAAATTCACTTACTCCAAAGTAGTTAATGTTCCTGGAACAGAGCCCACTGTGGGTGTGTTTGTGTGTGGGGGCTTG